ACACACACACACACACACACACACACACACACACACACACACACACAGGAGTTAGGTGCTAACATAATGCTCTGTTACCAGCCACTACAATGCTTAGGAGTTGGAGGATTTTCTGTGTAGCCCTAAAACCATCAAATGAAGGCCAGCGAGATGACTCAGCAGGCAAAGACACTTGTCAGCAAGCCCAAGACCTGAATTCTATCTCTGGATCCCACGTGAGAGAGAGTGGTGACTCCCACAGGTTTCACATGGTTTTCACATGCTTCCACACACAACATACAGACACATAAACACACAAATGGATCAAATGTGATAAGAACTATTACTAAAATCAAATGAGGAGGGTTATTATTGATTCACTGCCACCTTCTAATCCTTAGATCCCATCAGTCATCTTGACAATGAGCTTGACAGGCAGAGGATCCATTTCTACAGGAGGTTTTTATCTAGGTGTCCTGTTCTGTGAGGTTTCTGGCTCCCTGCACAGTGAAGAAGGATGGTCTCCAGCTAGATTAACTACTTTATGGGTTCTTCTTTCTTCTCTTTTTCCACCCTTTTCCCACCCTCTCAACTCCCTAACACTAGATATGAGAGGAAAAAAAGTGATAGAGAGGAAAGGAAAGAGATCCCTGCATAAAATGAGGGATCAGTTAGACTATTTCCTGCTGGTTAGGGGCGCTGAGTTGCTTGGGGCAAGTTTGGTCTTTCATGATAGGAGGAACCAACAACCAACCTACAACCAACCAACAACCCACTAACAACCAACCAGCAGTCCACTTGGCAGGGAACCAGCATTTAGATAGCCTCTGAAAAGAATCCCAGAATTCCAAACGTCAATACGGTCACAGAAACTATCTGCAGCTGACAAAATTATGCCCCTGCTAGACCGTGAGGCAAATCACAGTCAGCTGCTGTGAAACAGTCCCATTTCCCATGCCTGGGATTAAAGCAAAAAAACATAATCTTATTTTTTTAAAGAAGCCAAAACTCCAAAATTCTCACTACAATGCTCTTTTCACAGGCTCCAGGACCCACCTTCCCAGAGCCCATTATATAGTCCTTAACATCCCTCAAGCTCATCTAGGCATAAAACCCCGTCTGACTGGGGTGGAGGCACAGTCTGTATTCCCAACACCAGGGCAGCAGAAGCAGAAAGGTGCCAACTACAAGGCTTGCCTGGGCAGCGCAGTGGAATGGTCTCAACGCAAGAAGAAGAACAAGGCTTGGAATCGGGGTCTGGGGAAGGGGACAGAGATGTCATGATGGGCATCAAAGGGGCAAGAAGAAGCTCCTGAGGCAGTCCAAGAAACAGACCAAAGTGATAGATTACGAAGATGAGGCTTTCAAACAGAAACAGAAACTCTTGATGCTTAGGACACAGTAAGTGCTCATGTGAATCATAAGTGGCCAGGATGACTTTCACGCCGACCCTGACTTTAACCCAGGAAGGAATTATCCTTTCAAACCCTTTAAACTCTCAAAAACAAGAGTTGAATTTCCAGGACTCCACATCCTTTAAAAATAATAATAATAATAACACACACAATACTAGTTTAACTAGAGTAAATTTCAAAAGAAACAAAATCTCCACCATCTCACTGTCTAAACAGACTGTTTCTGTTTTCCCTTGTGTTTCCCTTTTGTCTCCTCATTTTGAAAGTGCACGTTGAAATAGCTGAACCCCAAGGCATGTACACATGTGTCTCCTGGTTACCTCAAATAACATTATCTCAGAAGCTATTTTTCAAGCTACCACAGAGTTTTGCCTAATTATAAATTTTAGTGGTTGCAAAATAATCCATATTTACTTGTCCCTTTTGCTATTCTCGCTGTTTATTTAGGCTGTTTTTAACACAGCGCTGTTAAACTAAGGCTGCAGTTTCATGGATTCACAACGTTTTTTTCTTAGAATGTGTTGTCAAGAGCCAGGATTGCTGGGTCAAAGGCTACGAACATTTTAAAACTTTTAATATCTGATGCCAAATTGTGAAAAGGTTTGTAAGAGTTTATAGTGTTAAAGGTTGGCTCTTTTCATAGGAAAAGGAAAGAAGGAGTAAGCCTAGAATGGTGTATATTAGTCAAGGTTCTCTATATAACAGAACAAATTTTATATATATATATATATATATATATATATATATTTATATTTATATTTATATATATATTAAATATGGGGATTTACTGGAATGACTTACAGGCTACAACCCAACAATGACTGGCTATGAACAGAAAGTCCAAGAATCCAGTAGTGGCCCAGTTCAAAAGGCTGGATGTCTCAGCTGATCTTCAGTATACGCTGGAATCCTAAAGAAGCAGGCTCTAATGCCAGTGATGGAATGAGTGTCCTAGCAAGGTGCAGGCAAACAAGCAAAGAGCAAAAGCTTCCTCTTTCTATGTCCTTACATAGACTTTCAGCAGAAGGTGTGGCCCAGATTAAAGTCTTTCCACCTCAAGATCCAGATAAAGATGTGTGTCCTCCAGCTTACGATCTGGATCAAAGGTGTGTGTCTTCCTGCCTCAAAGGTCCAGACAAGAAGTGGGTTTACTTCAACCCAAGCAAACAAATCTCTCAAAGGTGTACCCTCCATTTCTGGATTGTAGTTCATTCCAGATGTAGCCAAGCTGACAGCCAAGCAAAGCCATCACATGGTACACCATGCCTTTAGACCTGGAGGCAGGAGAATGTAGAGGTCAGGGTCAGCCTTGGCTGCACAGCAACTTCAGGTCAGGATGGGCTACAGTGAGACCCTGTTTCATCATAATGACTCACCACCCATCAAAAGAAGCAAAATAAAAGGCATCACATTACAAAAATAGAATTCTTAATATACATTTAATAAAACTCTGCCCGGAGAGGTTTTACGCAAAACTTCACAGCTCATTTTTCTAACCCTGCTTGGGCTTTATGTTGCAACGTAAATTTTAGCTCAACCTGGGACTTGCTTATTGCTAGGTATGGTGGAAACTTCCATATACATTTTTGTTACGTATACTGAATGATGATTTTAAAATAATTTTTCAGCCCATCATGATGGCATATACCTGTAATGTCACTAGCTGGGTGGCTATAGGATCACAGGTTTGAGGCCAGCCTGGTCTACATATTGAGTTTCAGGTTAGATGGAGCTAAAAAGCTAGATCTTGCTTCAAAAGGGGAGGAGGGTGCTACAGC